TACCACTCCGCTACCTTGGGATGTTATTAATCCCACATACAGAAACGTCATTTATCTAATGTCATCAATCAAACATTGTAGCGGTTTAAAATCGTTTTGAAGGCATATACAAAACTGTCTAAATTTGTATTTAAAAGGTAATCACAGTTTTCAGCTCTAATTGTATTTTTTAGATGGCCCCAAAGACATAGTTGGGTAGATGCTCTCAGGGTCAAAGATAATATAGCACAGTAATCTTTGTTTGCGTTTTATGGAAGTGTCATAGGTTATGTAAATAAACTCCAAGCATTTCTGCTTCCGGCATCAACATGCATTTACCCTTTCTGAGTGGGCGCTTCTGAGGTCCAAAACTGAGTTACTTTTAGCAAAGCTGCTGTTACAATCATAGCATATACAGTATAGACCATGACCAAGATCAGTTTTTATCTGGTTTATGCTTTTTTTTTGTTGTTGCCAATTTTCATTATCAGTTTCAACTCTTGAGATTTTGTTGGTTTTTACTAGTACACCGGTTAAACTGTTGAGCATTAAGCTTCTCTCTCTCTCTCTCTTTGGTTCAGCTCCATGGATGATGTTTGCTGGAGCTGAACCACATTTAAGCTTTTAATGGCATTATGAATGGTAATTATATACATGAAGAGTACCTTTGTGTTTAAATGGGAGAGCTGCTTTCCTACAACTTTTCTGAAAAATGCTTTTCTGCTCTATTTTCATTGTAATTGTTAAGCCTTATTTGCCGTTTATTCCTGGGGTGGTAAAAATAGAGCTCTGAGGAGCTATGCTGACCAGTCTGTGCTATTGATATTGTTCTTATATACAATTATATGTTGGGCTAAAAGAATGTAATGGCTGTTTTGAAGCAGTGATAGTAGCACTGGAGCAGACACTGGAGCGTCTGGCTCGTAAAGGCTCTCGTGCTCATGCAGACATTTATCACGGGAGGATACACCACCTTTCCCAGCCTCTTAGAGCAGTGTTTCCGTATCTGGTCCTTGGGGACCTACAGACAGTCCAATACAGTGGACTGTCTGGCAGGGAGCTCGGAGAGAACAAAAATGTGGACCGGATGTGGGTCCCCGAGGACCGGATTGGACAACGGTGTCTTAGAGCTCCCACTCGGTTGGCTGCGGTGTAGGTGACTGAGGCGACGTCGGCCAGGGAGCGCAGATGCCCAGGCTTCGCTGTAATCGGCTTCATAGTCGCCTGCCGGAGGGCTGTTCCTGTCAAGCCTTTCCTGGGCGACCCTCAGCCATTCTTCACTGCAGCTCACCTGATTCAGCTAATGAAGAGTCTGATGAATAACTGCAAGAATCAGCAGTGCCTGTGGTGAACCATAACATATATATGCAGTGAAACAAATAGGCGTGTGTTTCAGACTGGTATTTCTCACTCTTAGAGATGTTGCTGTTTGTATGAGTATTGATTAACGTGAAAGTATAGCTTATTCATACCAGGATAAAGGTGACAGGGCTCCATTAATTACATGTTAGTACACCAGTAGGATCGGACCTGATGGGTCAAACGCGAGGAACACATGTCCTACACGCGGCGCTGTTTTCAGGGTGTGAACCAGTGAGGGGGTCACATAGAGGGAAAGTCCTCTTCAGTTTTAGTTGTTCTTTTTTTTCTGGAGTGGTCATTAAGCAGCTAATTTGCTAATTAGCTACATGAACAATATTAGAAGGAGATAGTCAAGGTCAGCAGCTCAGTTCTGCCATTACTGTTGGTGGTTGATTAGCTGCCGCTTATCAGATATTTACGTTTGCGTCTCATGAAAATACTGATTGCATTTGATGAATTGGGGTAAATGAGAGTCAAAGGCCAGGGCTCTGTAATGCAGTGCTTCCCAATCCGTTCCTCAGGGACCCACAGACAGTCCACGTTTTGGCTCCCACCCAGGTCCTGGGAGAGAGCAAAAACATGGACCGGCCGTGGGTCTCCAAGGAGCGGATTGGGAATCACTGCTGTAATGTAATTACAGGCAGTCCCCAGGCTACTCCTACTTACAAACAGACGGCTGTAAAGCCTATTATATTAAAAATTTGAGTTAAATAAAATAGTTTGTAATAACGATCGCATGCACCACTTTGTGACGTTCTTGGAAACATTGCTTGGCTTCTGTGGTTAGTCAGCTGAAGGCACAGGACCGATTTCTGTGTGGATACTTTTATTATTACTGTATTATTATTATTATCATTATTATTATTATTATTATGTACTGTATTGTTGTTCTGACTTACCTACGAATCCATCTTAAATACAGACTTAAGGAACAGATCTCGTTCATAACCTGGGGACTTCCTGTATGTTGTAATTCAGAATGTGTGGGATTTATAAAGTAAATAGGAGACAGAAGGAGGTGCCACTCAGTGCTGTTTTGTAGGTTTGGGTGTCTTCCACAAAATGAGAGAGCAAAATGTGAGCAAGTGTCTGTGTCCATTTCCGTAATGTCAAAGGCACCTAGTGCCCTCACCTGTTACACAAGGAGGAGAGTTTGGCTCCTCCTCTTATCGTCTGTCTGCATCGGTGTGTATGTATATATGTATTAGGCAGCACCGATCCAACTTTATCAGTCCTGATAATGTTACCTTGGCTTAGGGTTTGGGCCAATACTTGGTACTGATCCAATACCAGTGTTTAATTAATAAGCCTCACTGTGTGGAAGAGTGAAAGGTCACCCAAACACCTTCCGCAAACATGTCCAGCCGTGATTTAGTTTAAATCCTGACAGTTGGACGCTAACCAAACACAAACCCTTTTTCAAAAGTTTTGCTTCCACAGACAAACTCGAACCGTAAGCAAGCTTGTGTGTGCAGACATGCTCTCTTTCTCTTGGTATAATAAGCATTTTGTAGACTTCCGTCCCCAGTCAAACATTCTATTTTTCAATTCAATCTTATACATCAGAATTCTCTGTCCTCACCTTGAACATCTCTACAGAGGAACAAAACCTTAAATATAATGGTTATTTGGTTGTGAATAAATCATTTATCCAAATAAAAATAGACTGCCAAATTCAACATTTTCGACAAGTGCATCACCACACTGGTGCATCTGAGTCACTCCCCGAATCTGCGCCAGTTCCTGTCACATTGGTTCCATGCAATCTGTGCATGTATCTGACTGCTAGGCCATATTTTCATTAACTTGGGGGAAAATATTGGTCATTGTTATTCAATCAGGTACAAATAAATCCCAGAGTAACGTCAATATATACCCATTTACCTAAGAATCATTGTGATGTATAACGCATGGCTTGGAGTGCATTAACGTTCATATACCACAGTCACCACACATTTGGCTTACACGCTTGTACTTGACATTATTCTAATGAAGACGAATTTATTACTAGAATTACTGTTTAGGCTTGGAAACACAGCATACCGTGATATTTCCTTTTAGCAAAACTATCTTCGAGTATTTCAAAATACCGGAATAGCCTTGCTTTTTAAAATACCATCAAAATGCCATGTGACTTGTTGGCATAGCAACTTCAAGTGTGAAATACCTCCAACCTGCTGACGTTTTAGCTCCCTCTGTGCTAAGTTGACACTCCTTCTAGCAAAATGTACAGGTCTACCAAAACACTACTGTGGTATGAGGCGGTGCGCACATGTGGGTGTAACTGTACAATAACATAGAATTGAATTGAATAGATTGGTCCCAAAATGGTCCCAAACGATGCCCAATCCAGCTATTTGAGTCGGTATCAGACCGATTTCCAATATCAGTATGTCATATATGTACATGTATGTATGTTTATTTGCTTGTATAATGTTTATATGTATATAGGTATGTAAATTATATATGTTTGTGTTATTAATGGTCACATTAGGAACTTTTAGATGCCTGATCAAGGTAGTGTTATAAAAAAATGTGTGGGTTACGTTTTGAGGGAGCAGTCATGCCGGCGGCATAGGCTGTGGCACACTGGCACACTGGCACAGTGTATTCATCACCCTCCCCAGGACCATGTCCGTCTGCCGTCCGATTCGCAGTGTCTGAAATCTTAAAGTCCGCCTAAGCTCATCGGAGATTAATTAAACATGAGTCTCGGGCTTGGATTGATGCATCAAACATTTTATCCAGCCTAATCAGCTGTCAGAGGGCCCCATTAATGGCATTTTTTCAGATTCCCCTGAGTTTAATTTTCAGAAACTCGCAGTGTTCCTTCAGTGGAATTCAATTAATTTCATGAACCAGTGAGACAGACATGAATATTTAATCGTTGCTAAGAGGGCAGATTTGGGGATCACATATGAGTGTCAATGTTGGCATGGCTAAATTATTGTAGGAAGAAAACAACTTTGAGTAAACTAATTTGGACTATTATTCTGGTTTATGAATTGACCCCTCTCCGCCTACGTTTGCAGAAGAATGCTTGTATCGCTTATGTTTTTCCTCTCTATTTGAGGTTAACATTAAATGTACCTCAGCCTGTGCTTCAGGTTTGCACTCTTCCTAATACATGAATGCCCTCTATCATCCTATTATTAGCTGTTCAATTTGGAACTTTGTTTAAATTTCCTGGAAAAAAGTTGTAATGTTGCTTTTTCTCAGTGGTATTTATCTCACAGCCTGTTATCCACAATCAGCATCAGTGTTATAGCAAAAGCATCTTCACTGCAGGTTCCCGGCTTTGCCCCTGCACACTGCTACCCTGAGACGGCTTCTTTCGGCTGATGGATTAGGGGGGCACTGCACAGTTCTCTGGGGTAGGGGGTGGGGTGAGAAGGGGAGTCTGCTTTTATCAACTGGGCCCTTATGTCCTCCTCCCTCCCTTTCAGCTACTTGCATTTCAGGTGTTGTGATGCATGTCTGGCTGAGAGGACGTGCTTTTTTTTTTTTTTTTTTAAATCTGTGTTCCGCTGCCTGGATGTTTTTCATGGTCGGTTCTGGTTCCCGAAGCCTTCAGCTGTGCGTTCTGTGTGTGTGGCCATTCACAGGTTTGTTGATCTTCCCCTCCTCGCCTCTTCTTTCTTTTGCTCCCGTGGTTACAGGCTGCCCGCTGCCGGCCTCAACTCCCCGGCAAAGACCAACTCATTGGAAAAAAAGCTTCAGGTTAAAAGCAAAGAATTACAAGAAACCCAAGACAAATGTCACAAGGTATTTGTGCCCATGTCTACAGAGAGGGGGAGGTCATGCTGCATGAAGAATATCACGCCATTTTACCTTACTGCCGTGTAATTATGGATTTAGCATCTGTTGGTTCATTCACACCCTGAAGAACATACAAAAAAGTGTCCATCTATCCATCTTCCAATGATTTATCCATGTCAGGGTCGTGGGGATATTTGTGAGCCCCGACTGGAATAATCAGCAAAGTGTATTTGATTTAGAGACTGTGTTTTATTTGGCTGGCTGCCTCTCAGTGCATCCCATAGGGTGTTTTCCTGTGAAGCAGATCAGGAGTAACACTTAGAGTAAACAGGAAATAGTGCATAAACACCGATCAGTGATCACACTTGAAATGGATAGTATGTTTGCTCCCTGGCAGGGATGCAAAAAGTGATTATTTTTACAATCGATTAATATTATGTGATCAGGTGACCTACTAATTGATTAGTTTAGCAAAAATACATGGTTTAAAGGAAACTGCAAATGCTTTTTTGCTATTTACACTTAAAAATGTTAGCAATTGGAGAGAATCTAGGGGTGTGACTGTACACAAAATTCACAGTTTGATACACACCTTGGTTTTGAGTTCACGCTACAATGTAATTTCAATACAGCAGGGAATCAGAATTTGTTCTGACATGGTTTATTATTAAAACGGCAAACACAATTAGGAACAGTTATAAAGCAAACACAAGACCGTGTCTGTTGATATGTCTCTGACAAAATCTAAGATGCTCATTTGTACACTAAAAATAAATATGTAAAATAAATAAAAACGTAAAAATAACATTGCATCAGAACAAACGTAGTGAACTAAATATCATGTTCTCTGTTGCTGAGTATGGGTCCATATCTGAAGCAGGTCTTTGGGATCTCCAGCCTACTCCTAAGCAGCTCATGCACACGTGGCATAATGTTTTCAGTGTTGAACATCTACTTCTCAAATAGGTTAATTCATTTTTTCGTGTGTACCAGACTGAAAGTAACGTCGTTGAACTGCACCCAACGAATGTGTGCTGTTACACCCTAAGAAAATCTCGATTTAATATATTGATTTGGCAGATGTTACAGGTTATTAGCTTCCTTGATGATGGAAGATTAGAGTGATTCCACACTTTGGATAATTTGGTCTTACGTCGACCATCCACAGATGAACCCGCCGCCTCTGTCGTGTTTAGCTTGCTAACGATTGTACTTAACACACCAATGTTAGCATGGCTAGGTGGATGTCATTAGACACAATTTATGCAGCAAACCTCCAAATTGAAACCATATCTGTAGAACCCCTTTAATCATTTCTGACACAGCATGTTGCGCAGCGATGACAAAATCTGTTGTCTATTTTTAACTACTTATTGTTCACATTATCGATGAGTCGTTGCAGCCCTACTCTTTGTACAATGATCATGAAGACTTTCAGGGTTAGATCATGCAGGCAGAAGAACTACATATTCTTGTCTAGATCACCTTCTGAAATCCCTGCTTATTAATTTATTTAATAATAACAATATTTTATTTTGTCAGATGGAACAAGAAATCTCTCGATTCCAGCGTAAAATGTCAGACCTGGAGTCTGTGCTGCAGCAGAAGGATGTGGAGCTGAAGGCGTCGGAGACGCAGAGGAGCATCTTGGAGCAGGACCTGGCCACCTACATCACAGAATGCAGCGTGAGCTCCCCCCCCCCAGTGGCCAGGATAGCCTGCATGCCAGAGAAATTTAAATGAAATGTCTGCCTTACGCCTGATGAAATGGGGATGTTTAGACAGGAGAAAATAGGGGAAGTCACTTTATACCTAAATTTTCACTTTTTTCCCAGTTTTTCTTTATTATGTTGGATTTTTATCATTTGCGGAATCTGAATCTTCTCTGCATGTTTAAACTATGAATTGCTGGAATATATTTCAGAAAACTGGCTGCTCTACATGTTAAATCATGCAGTCTGCATAATTAGAGTTTTAAGGTGTAGGATTGAGTTTCGTGAGCCTGTGTGACCTCATAGGGACACTTATTCAAAGCAGGCAGTTTTGGTGGATCTGTGGCAGCGATGGGCTCTGTCTCACTTGTGCGTCTGCGTGCATCTGCGCATGTTTCAGAGCCTGAAGCGCAGTCTGGAGCAGGCTCGTGTGGAGGTGTCCCAGGAGGATGACAAGGCGCTGCAGCTGCTGCATGACATCCGGGAACAGAGCAACAAACTGCAGGAGATCAAGGAGCAGGTAGGCTGCTGTGCTTCCAATCTGAGAGCCCGCACTCTCCAGAGCGCCCCCCCTAATTCTGGGCATACAGATCTCCCTCAGTGGGTCGTATGGTGAAGGTTATGTGTTAAAAATGAAGGTTGATGCCTGCCCCAGTCTACTGTCCCCTGCCCTCATCCCGAATGCCCTCAAGTTGTGAGAAGACTAGCTGTCAAATCAGCTTCTGCAGTCTTTGCCAAATACAGTTACTGTCCCCCCCCCCATCCCCCGCCCCCCGTCTAAGCTTCGTGGCCGGGAGCTCCTTTGCATTCGCATGCCCATCATGCAACGATGAAGGCCCCATGTTCTGAACTTGTTTAGCGTCCATCCCAGCCATAAGCAGCTGTGGGAGCGAAAATATAGCGCATCATTCCCTCCAACACCTGCTTCCCTTCCATAAAAATGAAACTGTCTCTCCACTTTGCCAGAACCAACCATATTGACCATGTAATTAGTTTGTCCTTCAGAATGCCTGTGCTGTTGCTTGTTGCTGTTCAGCTTTATGCCTTTGGTCGAGGTGAGCTCAGTAGGGCTCTTTGGCTTGGAGTATGACTTTGGATGCTGTTCTTCTGGATCGATACGGCTGAATGAAAATGAGGAGACGCTGGCCGCTTGAATAGACTAATGCATATTGCCTGATGGCGTGGAATGGGCTTGGAATTTTTGTGACTTTCTGCGGATTGATTCTTGATAGTTAATGGTAATTTTTTCTATTGGTTTATTAAAAATTCCAGTCCTGTCCTCTCCTGTTCCTTCTCTCACACGAGCAGCAGGGTCACTGCTCCCTGCCCCGTTCATGTGCTGAACACATGGCAGAATTGTTGAGGGAGTCAAAGAGCGGCCCGCTGAACATATACTGCAGTGTTACTTCATTTCATTGATCCTGCTTATTTTGTCTGTCCTTATTTGCATCTTGTTATTGTAAGGAAGTAAGCAGTTTCATGAAATGATGATGGATTTCTAAATCTGATATACTCAATCAGATGTAAGTCCAAATATAACAGTGAAATATGTCACAGCACTTTTAGTAAGCACTAAGGAATAGTTTTTTTTTTATTTGGTGGTAGGCAGGGAGGGAGTATACTTCTGAACGATGGCGCGGTGATTTTCGACTTCTTCCAGACATCTGCTGCAGTCGTCAGACGGATCTGTTATTTTGGTACTGGTTAAACGGGGCTGGGGGGTGTTTCATTTCACTGTCACGTCTCACCTGCGCAGCCATCAGCCGGGAGGAGCTCTTCATCCCACCAGAGAAGCTAGAATGCCACTTGGCTTGTCATATGCATCACTTCCTGCTGTTCTGCAGGCAGGCAAAGGATTGTGGGACGGCGGGGAGCTCAGCCCTAAGACGGGGAGTCTTCATGTTGAAAAGGAGCAGTTTGCTATTAGATCTTAATTGTCTATGACATTTTTTGACTTTTCCCATAATATCTGTAGATCCCCTTTAATCATCCCTGACACAGCATGTTGAGCTTATGTCGTCCTCCATCTGCCCGCGGGCGGCCATGTCACCGACTCTCTCTTTAAATCCACACACGCTTGGCCTCTAATAGCAGTTTTTTATTGCTTTGTGCCTCATCTACGGCAGTAGAGGTGACAATTGCTGCGGGGGCAAGGGCGGTCCTGACAGACACATTTGGGTTGCAGATATTCCTTGCTGAACTCTGCCAAAGACCCATGAGTCTTAATCATCTAAAAGCATGCAGACACCCTCACTCATGAACTTCTCTGCCTTAGAATCATCTGCTGATTGCACCACTGTTAGTCCGTCTGAAGGACTCTTGGAATAAAAATGCTTTTTAGAATGGCTGGATGGTGTCAGGTAATTTGTATGATTTCTCTGTGATTGTTGTTAAAATGGCTTTAGTACCTCACTGTTTTTTTTTTATTATTCCTTGGATCCTGGGACTGCAAATATTACAACCAAATGGATTTAATTTACAACACGTCCTCCATCATTCTTTCTGGTTCTTCAAAAGGACTGCACAGAGATCTCAGTGTTGTCCATCTCCATTAAAAAATATGTAATATTTTTTTATTACAGTAGGGACCTTTGTGATAACTGGCCTCCCCCTGTGTTATACAATAAAGAGTTTAGCCTTTGCACATAGCAGTTTTATTATACACTTGGTGCCTCTGTATATTTAGCATTACTAAGCATGGAGGATTTAGCCTCGTCCTCATTCCAGCTAATATGCGTCTTTCACGTTACTAATAAATGCTGAATTCCCTCCAGATGTGAGCATCCTGTGTCACTGTGTGTTCAGGGAGCCCAGAAAACGTGGCCCTAGATTCTTATTGAGATCTTTGTAACTTCCACCTTTCTCTCTGCTTCTCTTCCATTATCAGTTTGTCCTTTGATCTACTCTGTCCTTCTCTCCTGCATTCTGTAGCCCCTTTCCCCCACTTTAACCCTGAGGCAGGCTTCATCTGTGGTCAAAGTGTTTTTTGTGTGGAAGACAATGATTAATGGCCCCCATTTGTGAGCCCGGCCCAGCCCCCCCTACTGCCACAGGCCAACTTGTGTGTTTGAGTTTATTCCTAAGATGATTAATATTAGTAACTTAAACATTTCAGTTAACATCCCAGGCATTTAAATAAATCTGTGTTCTGCCAGCCTTCCAGTATCTTAGTTTCTCTTAAAAAACACTAAATATCTGTTTTAATCCTTTTCTGAAAACAAGTTTATTCACAACCATTTTGTGGTCCTCAGTATAAATATAGCAACTTTGAAGTAATCTTTGACTAATTTCTTGTGCAGTGAATTTTCCTGTTTTTCCATAAGTATCTTCAGAAATAAGTATTTAACAAGCTTCATGGACTGTTTACTCTGATATTTTTTCAGCACTGAATCATTATGGTTTAAAAAAAAAAAAAAAAAAACAACCTCATGAATTATTAATCCAAACATGACTCTGTCCCTTTTCATGGTGCCATATGACTTGTCATATTTGAGGGTCGAGGTTTGTCACTCTCCGTTCATTAGCTTAAAGCTCATTAAAGGGATATAACAAGTGAGCTATCCTCACCCCCCCCCCCCCCCCCCCCCCCCCCCCGGCTTACTCTCAGTTGGCCTGAACTCGAGATCCCTTTCACACTGAATGTGATTTGAACTCACTGAACTCCACATGTGCAACTATACGGTCACAGATTGATACGAAGCCTTTCTGATCGTAATAGCGGTGTTTTACAAATTATTTTTTTTTGTCTTCAAACTTATGTAACCATCATGTGGACATGATTTTTTTTTTTTCTGTGGTAACCGTCAACAGTTCCAGATGTTCAGTTTTAAAACCACTCAGTAGCTTTTATTTAAAGGATATTTTGCTGTCAATTGGGTTTGCTTATGATGTCACTCTGTCCCACAGGAATACCATGCCCAACTGGAAGAGATGCAGGTGACAATCCGGCAGCTGGAGGAGGACCTCTCCTCTGCCCGTCGCCGTAGCGACCTGTATGAGGCGGAGCTGAGGGAATCCCGTCAGACCAGCGAAGACTTGAAGAGGAAGGCTGCAGAGTACCAGCTGAGGATCCAGAAGGTCCGTCCCACCAGGGCGCCAGTCCTGTAATTACTTTGGGGCACATAAAAGAAATAGCGTGCTTGGCTTCTGGAGGTCGTAGTGACCGAAGAAAGACAGGCAGCGGACTCTGTGCGTGCATGAGCTGTGTGATCACCTGCTGATTGTTCCTGTGCCCTCCAGGCCAAAGAACAAGGCAAGGCTGAGGTGGAGGAGATCCTCTTGAAGCTGGAGAAGGTGCGTGCTGCAGTGGCCTGTCATTCACAGCAGCCTTAGCGTTAGCATGCACCTGACATCCTCTCCAGGCTCCATCTCCGGGCACCACTGCCTTTTAAGGCTTCATCACCACCTCATATCATTAGTATCCCTTCATTTGTGTTCGAGCTTTACTAGTTTTAGTTACAGTCATACTGTACTGTACTGTGCTGCATTTTGCTCTTAGAAATAAGTCTTATCATATCAAAATAAGAAAGCTTTAAGCATTTATTGTTTAGCAGTTTTACAAGGGTTTTTTGGGTAACCTAATCTGTGTTTCCTGGAACAAACTATATTCCATGTGGTGGTAAATGCTGCCATGCCTTCCAGACCAATGCAGAACAACAAGGAAAGATTCTGGAGCTCCAAGACAAGCTGACCAAGGTAACTCACTCCTGCTGAGTGAATGTAGCCCTCACTTAGAATGGTCTAGTCAAGTCACATTTCACTACATGTTATTCGTGTATAAGTATGTGTGTGACCAATAAACCTCTCTTGAAGCATAGTTAAAGTTTATCAAAAATGAACTTAATAGAGATATGATTAGAAGAGTGACAGAAAAGGTGGGAAAGTGAATAGCAATTAGAGCTGCTCGATTATCATAATCACGATGATTCTGACCAATATTGAGATCCTGATTATTTACCACAATAACTCTTGACAGCAGAAACAATGTATTTTATTGAACCTTAATAATGAAACTTATACACGTGCATTGAAATTGAATTGAAACCAAAATAAAACTTTAATAAAATAATATACGTAAATTACTGTATACTGAGATGAACTGTTCTCTGAGGTTCAAAAACACTAAACTAGATTTTTCCCCCAACTATACATATTACAGGTAACTGCTCAATCAACTGATATAAAAAGTTTTAGCAAGAAAAACTAGTCTGTTTACATGATCTGGCTTCAGTGATGCACGATGGCAGGAGATGATATTTTCAGCTGTGTTGAAGACCTTCTCTTTTGCTAAATAATATGTGATGGCATCCGTTATATCTCTGTGTTTTTGAGAACTTGACGGATACGCGGTTGCATTATAGGGTGTCCTTAACGGGTAACTGCGTTGCAGTACGAGTTGATGTGCTTGCCTCACAGTTCTGAGTGAAGCCATAATTGTAATCGCGATTCAAATTCGATTAATTTAACAGCTCCGGTTGGGATTTTGTGAATGAGGTTTGGTTGTGTCCTGGGTTCCCTGCGCCTCTGCAGGCTGTGAAGGCCAGCACTGAGGCCACAGACCTCCTGCAGAACATCCGGCAGGCCAAGGAGCGGCTGGAGCGCGAGCTGGAGAGGCTGCGCAGTAAAGGCGACTCCACCGACACCTTACGCAGGCGTCTCCGGGAGACTGAGGTACGCCGGCCGCTCCGGCCTGACACCTGCCTGTCACCTGCCTGACACCTGCCTGTCACCTGCCTGTCACCTGCCACGTCACACGGTCTCTCCAATCAGGCAGGAAGTCTTTCCACATTATTATTTTCTTGTTGTATGAAAGCTAATCATGAAAGACTTAAAATGTTTATGTAATTTTTAAAGCTTGCTTAAGTAATCTGCCTGCTGGTTGCTTTTTTCATTAAATAAAAAGACACATTATTCAGGTTTAATTTGACATTTATGGTTTCTGAGTAGGAAAATGAATCTGAAATCAAGGCTTTTATAAATGTGTTATCAGTAGAACAGACTGTACTGTGTAAAAGTGTTATATTAACACGCGCCTAATGTGCTCTCTGCCTGCGTTAGTGACCTGCCACTGTGTCACAGTGTTAGTGAATATCCCATTTGGTGAGAGTAACTCCTGAGTGGAAAACTAATTACGTCTTAAAGCCTTAATACGGAAACTTGGGGAAAACGGGCACAAAGCCAGGCTACAGTGTACATTTTCATGGAACACCAGCGAAAAAAAATTAATCATGTTTACAGCAGTCTGTCATGCATCTGTGTGTGTGGACAGGAGGGCAAGAAGACCCTGGAGAACCAGGTGAAGAGGCTGGAGATGGTGGAGAGGAGGGAAAACAAGCTGAAGGATGACATCCAGACCAAGTCCCAGCAGATACAGCAGATGGCAGATAAGATCCTGGTGAGAGGTCATGGATGAAGGCCCCCGAGACGCCCGCTACCCCCCCCCCCCCCCCCCCCCACCATTGTTTCTCCCACATAAGCTGCCAACGCTGCAGTTTTTTTATACCAGGTTTCTGCCGTATTTCAAGGCTGTCTCCTGACGCCAGTTTTATTTGGCCGTTTGTCTGTTTACTTATTCGGAGCACTGAAATAACCTGTCTTATTTTGGAACTGAAATGCTAGCAGGTCTGTAAGCTTGTTGCTGCGTTTTGGGCGTGGTCTCGCACCCGGGACTCTGTCCTCACATACTGCTCCTGTGAGCTTCCTTGTCCATGTAGAGCCAGAGGAAGCCCTCATGGTCACTCAACCCCTCTGACATCACGCCGGCCAGCCGTGGTTCAGAAAATCCTGCTCCCCCCTCCCCCCCCCAGCGCCCGGCGCTCCCTGTCCTCCAGCCTGGTTCTGCCCATGCTGGCATATTCCACCCTCCCCAGTTTTGCCTTCTATTCATCTCCACAGGAGCTGGAGGAGAATCTGAGGGAGACGCAGGCTACTGCACAGAGGATGGAGGCCCACCTGCTGCAGAAGGAGAGACTTTATGAGGACAAAATCAAGGTGAGGGGCTGCTTCAGCCAAGGACCCCGCCCCCCACTACCATAATGCGTCCTCTGCCTCGCTTTCCCTCCTACATTCCCCCCCCAACTCACTCATTTGTATGCTTTCTAACCGTGTAGTAATAAAAAAATAAGCATTGTAGTATCTTTATGTATGCATTTTATTAAGCAGTTACAGTGTTGTTCCAAAGGACAAATTCATTAACTGTCCTCCTGAATTTATATTAAGCTGTAGTGCCCAGCATCTTTTTATACCTGTAATTTTGAGAGCTGCTCCTCACTTTATCACATAATCATATTGTAAAAAGTAATATCGTAGCAGGGACACATGATTTGTACTTCATGACTTGTTTGCATTTAGTCTGAATATTCTCTCTTTAAAGCTATAAAAAGGATGAGGATGACCACGATGATGCTGATGCTGATTTATGAAGATTATTATAAATGCTTGATCTTTAATCAGCTAAACAGTCCATGAAGCAAGAATAGAAAAACTGGCCAGGAATAGAGAAATGTAGGAAGTGCATGATGGGAAATTGGAATGGTCTATTGCAGGTCATTTCCTGTGGGTCAGGCCCACAAAAGCCTTCACCGGAGTACATATTTGTTTTGTTGTGACATAAAATTATCGGTTCTGTTTAGGTTCTAGAGGCACAAATGAAGGCTGACATGGCTGAAAAGGAGGTTCTGGAGTCCAAAAGGACCAAACATGAAGAGGAGGCCCGGGAGAAGTGCAAGCTGATCAGCGAGCAGAAAGCGGTGAGCCCTGCTTAGCATTGGCTCTCTCCTCCTCTGCCCGAGGATACCCACAGAGGCTGTAGACCAGGATTTTTGGAAGATGCCATCTTTCTGCTATCATTGTATGATATTCATAGCCTCAACATGAAATGAGCTTGATGACTGAAGCTGAGGCTGATTTGCACTGCGGTTCCTTTGCTGGCCAAAGTCCAGACCAGTTAGACCAGCAGAAGGAAACTCACAGATCATGTGACCTCCACACTCACCCTGACTAATAAAAACCAACATTAATTGATTATTTGAAAAACAAATGGGGATTGTGTGAGTGACATTTAGACAACAAAGTCAAGTTTAATAGATGGGGGTTAGATGGCTTAAAATGTTCACACCTTAGACTGTTTCCCATTGGTGTCCTCCTCAATTAGACCATCAACGCCATGGACTCCAAGATGAAGAACCTGGAGCAGAGGATTGCTGAGCTGTCCGAGGCAAACAAGCTGGCAGCCAACAGTAGCATCTATACCCAGAAGAATATGTGAGTGTCACATGACCTCTTCCCTTGTTCTGTGAAATGTCTCTAGAAATCAATTCTAATTCTTGAGGAAGAATCACTGTAGTCAAAACCTAGTATTCACAGGATTCTGAATACACTTTGTCGTTTGCACAATATGCCGAATAGCAGAGAAGTGAAGAAGTTATGGTGATTTGTCTGTCAGCTTTGTGTACCCAACTATTTGAGGTGGTGAGCGAGGAGCCCATCAGGGGCTGGAAGAATTTATGATATAATCTTCCCTTGTGCTCCCTATGTAAAAAAATATTACAAAAATAGGACCTTCCCAAGATGCTTTAAAACTCCTACACACCTTGCACTGCATTCACAAACACGGTCTGCTTTGCATCCTGGCAGTCAGGAGATGCGAACAAAACACAAACCGATTTCTAAAAGTTTTACTTAGATGGATAAACAAACACAAACTGCGGAGGTACTTGTGCTGACAGCAGGCGTATTCTGGTTTTCTCGTGGTATTACAAGCATTCTACATACCCATCCCACTGTGCAAAAACTGTTTTCAAAGCTTTGACCTTCATAAACCGTCATAAATCTTGTCTGGATTGTTTCAGAGACCGTGGCATGTGGTCAGCTTTTCCCACACAACATCCTGATAACCCATTATCCACTGCAAATAAAAAGTTAAAAAATTGCCTTACCTGTAGTTTATAAAAAGTGCCCCCCCCCCATTGTGCAGCAAAGCTTTAGGGAAAGGTGGGGCTTGTGACATCATTGAACTCATCATTCTTTTTACTGGCTGTTCGTTTCCTCCTGATCTGACTAGCTGCAGGTTATTGGTGGCTGAGGTCCTTGAAAAGGAGGGTCAGTAGTCCCTGTGTTATGAGGTGCTTGGCTGAAAACCATTCAGCGAAAACTCAATGAATTGGCCTGTATCCTCCTTCATGTCATTTTCTTAACGAATACTGTGAGCTGTGTATATATTACGGATGCGCCGTTCCACATTTTTTCTGTTCCAATCCCAATATACAACTGCCAGTACAGATACAGATTCTGATACATGAGCTTTTTTAACTTGAGTATTTTAATATAATAAATATGTTTATGCTTTATATATTAGTAATATTTTTAAGCTAGTAAATACAGAGGAAAAATGTACGTCAAAAAATCTTTAATTAGGCTATTAGAAACGTGTAATAAACCTACAATAGCGTCGGAGGCTATAAAAGGAGAATAGACCACCACAAGACTTCAACTACAATTACAAAGATAATTTTATTCAGTACAATTCATGCAGCGACCCATCGGATCAGGTCTAGGTTCACAAAGGGTTTGGCCCCGCTGTCTCCCCGTAGCAAACCAACCCTTCCAAACATGTGTTAACCCACGTTACCACACAGTGGATCCCACAGCACACCACATCCCCATTAGGGCACGGTACACCAATAGCACTGCAATACTCAGTAATCCCCACACTTCGGGCACAGGCAAGAGTCACGGAACCAGTACCGCCTCTATAGTCCCGCCCCGATCCCTAGCGGGCTACACTGCTTACTTTAAAAGACACAAAACAAACATACAAGGACAAGATTAAAACATAACGTTCCCCCCCGAGGCTCAAGACCCTCCCCCGGAGAAGGAACATTCACACAGGTCCGCAATCTAGGGCACCACGCGGAAAGGGAATTCCGTCACTACGGGGATGCCGCTTATCACCTCTATCAAACACCCCAGACTAAGCGGCGATCATGCACTCCTAACTACCCCCGTCCTAACTGTCCTTCCCCTGCCACACCAGAACCTGTCCCTGCAGCCCACTATCTGGCTTCATTGCCGGCAGCCCTACATGGCATACGAGCGGCACCTCCCTCCCAGAACCAATGAGTGCTGTGCCTCACAAGCGATCACCCCAGCGCGGCTCTCTCCTCCTCTCTTAACCCCACATTCCTAACAACCCAGGTGTGGCCACTTAATTAACCTTCCACGCCAATCCCTCCCCCCTCCACACACCTACATCACATCATTACACATGCATTGCACACTGTTCTACTTTCTTTGTCTTCTTTTAAGCATTTTTGAGGCATTTGCAGTTCGACTTCAATATCTTCCAAATGAGGATACGCAAGTGGCGAATGCTTAAAATGCCCCACAATTTTTCTCCCACTGGCAAAAGCATCACTCACACTTTGTTGCGAGCTGTAGTGAGTGTGCAAAACAGCCCAAGTTGTGCACATTTCGACTGGCGGCCGTGTTGAATTTTTATTAATATTTTTATATATAAGTGGCTTTATGACCGGATAATGTTTTTTAATGGTTGGAAACTTTTATTGTACTATGTCATTTTTGTCCTGGGTTTTTTACTTTATGATTTATTCTCCTTATGATATTCTAAGCCTGTTAATGAGCAGAGGATCTGCAGGCGGACCGTCCTAGAGGGGGCACTGGGATTAGGCTACAGCTAGCGCTGTCTTAATAGGAATGCAATCTGTGGCAGCACTATGTGAATATACAGTGGTACCTTGGTTCGTTCGTTCCAGAAACATGCTTGTAATCCAAAGCACTCGTATATCAAAGTGAATTTTCCCATTAGAAATAATGGAAACTCATATGATCTGTTCCACAACTCAAAAATATTTATATAAAAATTATTAATACAAAATATAAAGTAAAAATACATAAAACAAATTAACCTGCGCTTTACCTTTGAAAAGAATCGTGGATGGTGTGAGGGAGACGAGAGAGGAGAAGAGGAGGGTTATTTTGTAGGACGACTTTCACTATAATTAATGGAATCACTGCTATCTGTTGGCTTTATCACTTTAACAAGGAACCCATCCAATGACAGCCTCTTTTGCCTCCTTTTCGATTTCGCAAAAATGTGGACATTGCATTGTCGTTAAACAGATTCATTGCTCGCACTGCTACGCCCTTATTCAGGTGATGCTTTTCTACTAAATTTTGACTATACGAGTGAGGCATGCCGACTGAGACCGAGCATGGGAGACGATTACCCACAACCCCGCAGCGTGAGAAAGTCAATAACCATTGGTTCAGTTGAGATGACGTGTGCTCTGCGTCAAAACAAGAAGCGCATGCATGCGCTTCCTGTTTTGAAGCCGAGCGCATGTAAAAACAAGAAAAACAAGGAGCGCATGTGTGCCATATGATTTTTGATGATACTTGGCGCTCGTAAACCAGGACTTGCTCGGTTTCCAAGTCAAAATTTATTAAAAATCTTTGCTCGTCTTGCGTAACACTCGTAAACCGCGTTACTCATAATCCGAGGTTCCACTGTATTTGGATGGAGCACAGTGACGTTAATATTTCAATATAATTATAACTATAATATATGCATGGAATAGTTACATGGAGTACAAATAATAAGCCATATTGGAAGAGGAGATTTAAAAATGCACCACTGCTCATTTGCCAATAAGGCTTGTAGCCCAGTAATGACTAACAATATTGTGGACAATTTTGCTGCTTCACATCTGTCTTTAATGCTGTTCTTCATTTGGATCAAATCAACCTGTAATGTTATTGAATTTTTCGCAGCTGCCGAGCAGTTATGCTGCGAAGGATCCTGTATAAAATCAACCTGAAAAAGAAAATAGGGCAGCAGCTTGGAACAGCTTGTTGACGGTTTATCGGTGTCAGTGTTGCTCGTCCACCTCGGCCCTTAGGAAAGCCCAGGAGGAGATGATTTCAGAGCTGAGGCAGCAGAAGTTCTACCTGGAGTCACAGGCTGGAAAGCTGGAAGCGCAGAACGCCAAGCTGGAGGAGCACCTGGAGAAGATGAGCCAGCAGGAGCAGACCAAGAAGACCAGGCTCCTGGAGCTGGAGACACGGCTCAGGGAGGTGAGGAGGGCGTATTGGAGCTCCTCTCCTGCTCGGTCTGGTGTCTTACCACCATGCTGCGGACTGAGGCACATCATGCTTGACTGGCAGCATTTTCCGTGCCCTTTCTGCCAAATGCAAATGGAGGAGTGAGATGGTAACAGTTCAGCCTGCTGGTGACCTGACATCCACTCAGACTGTCAGCTCAGTCGGGGTCCATGGAGGAGGGCAGAGGTTAGAGCTTGGGCCTCTTATCAGTGGGTGAGCTGTCAGCCTGTGGGCCGTAGGTTTGTACCCATGAACTGTAGCCACAGCTCATTTGCTTTTCGCTAATTTGTATAACTGGATATGTTAATATGTGTAATATGCTCATAGAATTGATGATTTAGGCTGAGTGGTTGTAAGAGAGGGAAACCGGTCTGTGTGGTCGGTCTCTCTGCTGTGATCTCAGATGGGCCTGGAGCACGAGGAGCAGAAACTGGAGCTGAAGCGGCAGGTGGCAGAGCTGACGCTCTCTCTGCAGGAGCGAGAGTCCCAGATCAGCGGCCTGCAGGCGGCTCGGGACGCCCTGGACAGCCAGCTACAGCAGGCCAAGACGGAGCTGGAGGAGACCACCGCCGAGGCAGAGGAGGAGATCACGGCGCTCAGGGTCAGGGCCGGCGTGCGCTCCCAGCCGGGGTGCAGTTAGATATTCTGGGGCCCCTGACAAAATGACATTCCACCCAATACACTTAGGCATTCAGGGGCCTCTGTGAAGTGCTGGGCCCCCTGAATCTGCCAGGGTATCCGTGCCCCTACTGTGGCCCCTGTAAAGTGCTGGGCCCCCTGAATCTGCCAGGGTATCCGTGCCCCTACTGTGGCCCCTGTAAAGTGCT